TCCGTAGAACTATAGGCCCAATTTACCTTTTTGTGGAGAAGAAGAAAGTTTGAACACTTGGTTAGGAGCTCTGGATTCCAGTGTTGTATTTACACCAATGGAATGATATGTGTAGATGGGCATAAGAACACAGAACACAGTAACATGTGTCAGGCACTGTGCTATGCACTTCTCCAAGACTGTTTGGTCTGTTACCTCCATTCCCCATGGCTAAGCTGGCAGGTGAGAAATCAGGCCTGTTAGAAGTAGGCCTGGGGAACAGTGGCTGAGTCATAACCCATTCAATCTGAGGGTAATTACACAGCTACAGAATAATGTTGAGATCTCTGGAAGAGAACTGTTCTTTCCTATCACAATAATTATGGATTGTGGGTGGTAGCTCCCTGGTAGCACCCCAGCCTCAAATGCACAAGGCCTGGCTTTGATCCCCAGCACAAATTTCCACAAGTCAATTTCTCTGACATACTAGCTGTCATTTAATTATGCAATGAATGTCCTCTTTGGCCATGTCATAGAATTCTAAACATCAATGACCGTACTTTGTCTTTCCTCTTCTAAGATAGCTCCCAAATATGGATCTGTGGAGTGAGAGCATCGTTTGATTAATGACAGGAAGAAACAAAGGTCAAAAATGTTGTGACTAAGACTGCATGAGTGGCAAGCCTGGACCTAAATCCCAGTCCCTAACCGCTATCATATCCCATCTCCCTAGGATCTTACAAACACACGGATCATTGCTGGTTTAAGGGCATCAGTTTGCATTAAAAACTAAATGACATTCAGTACCATGTGACTTAGGATCTGAGGTTTCAGTTATAGCTGCCCTACCAAATAAGGCCATTGGGTTCTCCAGTATCATTTGTTGTGTATCTTATCCTTGAATTTCCTCATTTATCTATAAAGCCACCAAGTTCCTTACTTCCTGTGTCTTTTTCAAAGCTACCTGAACGAGCAACTTCCTGCTCAGACTGCAAGAGAGAGGGCAGTGCCCATCTCCACATTCCATCCACTGAATCTCTTCACTCAATAACGAAGGGTAATTTGCACCTGTCCAATGGAGGCCAAATTCAACGAATTGTTGAGCCTGTAATCACAAACCACTTAAAAACACACGGTGTTCTTTGAGTATTTCTTCATTTCTAAAATACCACTCATGTTTCCCTGAAGTCCTATGCTGTTTTAAGGTGTCAGTATAGAAGAAATTATTTCTATTTTTTGTATCTGCTAAATGTACACATACACAGACATGTTCTTGTGTGTCATAATTCGTAAGAAGTTACCACAGAACTTCAAAAGAAAATAACATGCATGCTTTAAAAATCTCTTAACTTATGAAGGAGGAGTATAATTTAGATACAAAAGTACAAAACTAAGACCAGGGAGGCCACAGGTGAAGAAGGGAAACAGCAGAGATGGATCCATGTGCTTGCAGGGTCCACAGGGGCCCACACTCTGGATATCTGGGCAGAAAACACACCTATGGCTAGCTAGTGGTGGCACAATTGATGATCTAGAATCTACTTTTATCTGTTATTTTGAAATATGCTGTTGAGCTGGAGAGATGGTCCTGAGTTCAATTCCCAGCCACCACATGGTGGTTTATAACCATCTGTAATGAGATCTGGGCCTTCTTCTGGTATGAAGGCAGAACACATAGTAAATGAATAAATCTTTAAAAAAAAAGCTATTGTCATTTTGGAATATAATAGAAGAGGACAAAGGGAAGAAATAGTAAGTTTGAATTAAACATTAGAACCCTCAAAATATAACAAATAAAAGGTTGGCCTCTGGCCCAGACTCATGTTTGAAGCCCATCTATGGCATTCCCGCAGACCTCGGACAAGGTACTTGGCTCCTCTAAACGAGTTATTAAAGACAAGGAGAGGACTGAACACAGGCAACATAGACAAACCTGTAACACTTGAGAATCTGCAGCTATGTCAGGTTATATGTGGTTTCCTGTGCCAGAAACTGTTGTAGCTTCCCTGCTTGGTTTCTCCCCGCACACTGCACAACCTCTAACAGAACTGATTATAGACCAAACATAGGTTCTTATACTTATTTTGATCATATCACCAATAAGTGATATTCTTAAATTATCAGATTATCCAAAAGTCTGAGATGCTTAGGGCAGCCAAATTCTAGAAAATAATCTAGAGCCACATGGTTGGCTCATAGCTTTCTGTAACTCCAGTTACAATGCAGTGCTCTTCTGGTTTCCAAAGGCAACAGGAACACACACAGTGCACAGACATACATCCAGGCAAAACACCCATACTCCTATGATAAAACAAAAACAAAACATAAAAAAATCCTAAGACCCAGGGAGGACACTGACTTGGAGTGTGGCAGAGTGCAAATGCTCTTAAGACTGACTCAGGACTTAACTGTGTCATCTTCTATTTATCATGTCATGTATACTTTATTAAATCAAGCCTTTCGGCCATCAAAAACACCGGGAAGCAGCGAAAGGGAATATAACACATGGTTGTTGCGATTATCTCCAAAAGATTATAAAATAGAAAGGGTACAGGTGTTTTTTTTTATTATTATTGTTTTTTTACTAAGTCACACTATGTAGCCCCGGCTGTCCTGAACTCTCTATGTAGACCAGGTTGGTCTCAAATTCAGAGATGACATGCTTGCCTTTGCCTCCCAAGTGCTGGGACTAAAGGTGTGTGTTATTCCTGGCTTGTTTAGAATTACATAAGCTTGTATTTATGCTGTAAAAATTTGTGATAACATAGATACATAAGCAAATCTGACATGGAGTCAAAATCAAATGCAAAGCTTGACTGTACTTTTTGAAAATAAGGCCTCTATTAAAGGTATATGGTTTTAAAAGAAAAAAAAAAAAAACCCAAACCAACAAACTGGTAACTTACATAAGACGTTTCTGTAACTACTTCCCTCAAATACTTCATCCCATGGAAAATCCCTGTTGGACCCTATCCTATGATCCTAGATACTGTCTCCCTACTGTTTTTATATTTTTCCCTGAACTACATTCAATATCCAAGTGCGCACTCCATCTCATTGGGGTCATAGGAATTTCAAAATTGTACACATCCATGGCAAGATTTGATCCATTATCCAATTCATTCCTGTTTTTCTAAAATCTCAGCCAATGGTGTCACCGTTCTTGTTCCTATGAAAAAATGAGTCATTTTCTTTTTCAGACAGATTGTCTGCAGACTTGCTATGTAGCACTGGCCAGCCTTGAGCTCATCAAAATCCTCCTGCCTTCACCTCCCAAGTGCTGGCATGACAGGAATGTGCCACCATAGCCTGCTTCATGGTATCACTAAATTCTGTCAGTTTTGCCACCAAAATACAAGCCCTGCCCGCGGGCCCCCCCCATATCACCTATCAGTCAAGTTCTCATCTTGCCCAACCGCCAGTCCTCCATCTACCAAAGCAATGGCAAGCAGAGCATGCCACTCCCCTACCCAGGGTCCATCACGTCCAGAGAAAATCTAAATTCCTTACTGGTATATAGCCCTAAATGGACAAGATCTTGCTAACTTCAGTGCCTTACACTTTCATGACACTCTGTCTGCATATGAACTCACTCCTGCTTTGGGGATACAGGCTTTTTCTCCTCATCTAGGATGCCTTGTTTTCTAGTCTTGGTGTGTCCCTCCTCTCCCCCCATCATTCAAGGTTGTCATTCTCTACTGATCCTATAAACACCAGCACTCTCCCCTCAGGTTCCACCCCCCCCCCAATTGGTTTCTGAGACTATTTCTACCGTCTTCCCAGCTAACAAGCAGTAAGCCCCAGAAGGCAGGATTTTTATCTTGTATTCTGATGTCTACCTATTTACGACTGGTACATGAGCCTTTGGTGAACACTGATGAATAACTCAAGCATTTAGTCAAGACCCTCAGGCATGAAAACAGTTGCCTCACCTGGTGCAAACCTTGGGAATGGCAGACTGTATGCTGCCTTCAGGCAATCGATTGCCTCCCTCCCACCGAAATCTCACTCAAGACTCCTTGGGACATACCTCTTGAATTCCCATCTTCCATAGCAGCTGTTTTAATAGGAGAAAACCCAACCCTCTTATATGGGCAATATTCCCATCCCTGTCCCCATTCCCGGTTCTCCCTGGTACTTCATGTTCTCCCTTTCCTGCTCAAGCCATCCCGGTGTGCACACCTACACTGTGTTGAGCCAAACGACACACACTGGAGTATGAAGTAAGTGAACGAGTCCGTGACTGGTCTTGGGAGAACACACTCTCAGAGATGGGCCTGCACTGGGTCTTAGGATTCTGACTCAGTCATAGGCTTAGTCTCTACTCAAAAGCAATTTTTTGTTATTTGCTATGAAAATAAGGTTTAGGGCCAGCCTTAATAAGAAAAGCATCCCCAGGCCAGTAATAGAGCCAGGAAGCAAAGCAGCTTTGAGATGAGGATGAATAAGCAATCAGATCAAAATGTTAAAAAAGTTCGTAAGCTTTGGATTTTGTCAAACTAAAGCTTGAAACTCAAGTATCTGTTTTTATCCAGCCACTGCCAGTCTTATAGAGATGCCTAAGTGCCTAAGAGCAGATTGGTTTGTAGAGGATGATGACTTGGGCTCGATATTTTATCTAAGAACATAAATTTAATTTTGACATAGTTGTATTTAAAGCAACTACTTCTTGGAAAAGTTTTTTTTTTTTTTCCTGCTTCAACCCAGAAAATAAAATACTGATGAATTCTAATTCTCTCTCTGTAAAGTGACTGTGTTACCGCTAAGACAACAGCGCCAGGGTCAAACTTTAGAGGCATATAACACAATCTGAATGGTACAATATTCCTCAGGATCTACCGAATAAATGGTCTTAAACGAGATGGCAGTATCATTGTTTAAAATATCAGCACTAAGTGTGACAAATGTGTATGCAAATTATAGTGAATATAAGTATGCATACAGTGTATAGACGAAGTGAGGGGACAGAGAGGACGACGGTGGGGGGGGGGTCAGGGAATGAAAGAACGAGGACACGGACAGAAGCAACTCCGAAATGTAATTATGTCCACCCCCTTGATGCAAAAATGTACTGCAACTTCTGAAGCATTTCTTGGCTTGGAATAAAACTCGCCTCCCACAGATCATAAAAACACAAAGTGAATAGGCTGCGATGAGACTCAAGAAAATGCGCAGTGAAAGGAGACTTTGATGCACTTTCATGCTGGTGATTCTTCTTTTTTTAAACGTAAGCTACTAATATTTTAACAAAAAAAATTTAACCCCAAAGTTGCATATTTATATTGTACACAAACTGAAACGAGAGTGCCTTTTAGCACAGTGTACACATGCTTACACAAACTCAAGTTACACACTTAAACAATTTGCATAACAACACAGGAAAAGTTCTGAAATACATAAAAGATTAATATTTCCTAGAAAACTATAGTGAGAACATCAATTTGCTACAAGCATATAAAAACATCAAGTGCTTTCTCGGAGTTTCAAGTTCTCTTCACAGCATCAGTTGCTCACAAACAGTCCTCCTCCAGTCCTCAGTATGGACTTCTGTTCCTCAAGAGGGTTACTTTCCAGGTACATTATAAGCTCAAGAAAACAAACCCAACAATTATGCAATAGAATTACATCAGAACAACTTAATTGCACATTATGCTTTGAAAGTAGGTTTGGATGAAGTTCTCAAACACTTTGGTATATGTTCCTCAGGGACTTATACTACAAATAACAGAAAATCTAAGTTCCTTCCATCCCCGTTTTGCATTAAAATGGACAAGTCTTTGGTTAAAGGTCCACATTTTGGGCGTTTATCATCAATTAAAATGGTCCCCAAACCGGTAAGTGGTGCTGTGTCCTGGTTCACAGACTTTCGGTAACGGGTTTGTGATGCAGCTGGGTGCTCTAATGTTCCTCTGCTATGTTACTGCCAGCTCCAGTTTTACTACCAACAAAGAAATCACCAGGGTTTCACTTCTGAGTTTTCTGTCGTAAACTGTTAACTACAGACACTCCCACAGGACATGATGGTTAGTGCTAGAGAGCATTAGGTTAGATTTAGCTTACTCTGACAGGTCAGTATTGGGTTGCAGGTGAACCTGCATTAGCTATAGAAAGTTGTCAGGTAATGCTTAAAAACCCCAAACCATTCCATGTACAAGAGAAACTGTGGCAAATGCATAAAACAGCAGATATACAAGGCAGACACCAAATATACTTTATTAGCACGAAAAAGCAGCCAGAACAAGGCACAGCAAGCAGAAACAGACGTTAGCAGTCAAAGGGTTAGTGTTGCATACAAATATAGCGTTTCTTTTCAGTAGCCCTGGTGATAGCCAGAGGAATAAAAAATAGCCCCTGCAGCAGCTGGCATGGACCCCAGGAGTGCTCACCAGCAGGGACAGAGCACGGTGACAGACAACGAGAATGGACTTGGCTACTGTAGTGCAAATATCTAGGATGGAGTCAAGAACTCAGTCTGACACGGAGAAGCAACACTAGAATCTGACAATACTTCCTGAAGCGTTCACTCAAGTTGTATTACGTACTATTCTAAGTGACCAAAAGTTGCCAAGTAACGTTATTTACAGACATGGTGGTTGTACAGTACCTTTTAGATCTGCAATTTAGGTTTTCTGTGAAGAATTACCTGCACTAAAATGCTATAAGTTGTACTTAAGTAATGCAGCTATGAGCTTACAACAAAGAGATAAGTAACTGCCATCCAAATGATTAATTACAGGTTAACATGACTCGACATGAGCAACCAGCGGAGTCACTTTCATCTGATGTGCCTGGGCATCATCTAGTGTCGGTTCCCTCTGGGCTCACAAACTCAAGGGCACAGGAAAAGATCCAATTCTGATGAAACAATATGCGGACTGCACGTGTCAGCTGAGAAAAAATGCCACTCGAAACTCCAACTGTATGCCTGTCCGCAGCCACAGCACTCAGCCCAGACGGACACCAAGGGCTCTGAAACAAGAGTCTACTACTACTAACCTTTAGGGCTGAAGTCTGAAGAACTAACTAACTACCTTAGAGACCTCAGTTTACTTGAGAGTCTCTTTCTCTGAGACAAAAGGACACTGGCCATAAACCACATTGACACTGCACAAAGCCCTGTGGCCAGGAAACTGCATTTTTTTTTTTCTCTAAAAGGAAGGCAGTCTTTTCTTTATTTGTTTTGGACTTTCAAAGCTTGATTTATAGTTAACTACAAACATTACTACTTTTGGAAGGTTATAGAAAAATTCTTAGAAAAAATAATTTCAAACGTTAGTCACACTGTTGAAATACCCATCCAATATTAATAATTTGTTCTTCAATAAGAAATAGAATTCTCCATAGCAAATGCCCCAGAGTTTCCTCACTCAGTCATCACAGCCATTTAAAACCAAGCTGCTTTCTAACTAGCTGTTTTCCCAGCCCTGGACACCTGCAAACCATCTGTTGTTCCTAGGCACCTTTGTCTGAGTAACAGAAGATCCCACTGGATAGAGGCTAATGACTAAGCTCACATTCTGGGTGAACAATCCTAGGGGCCAACTCTGTGCTTCCTATGGCTGTACTGTCTGATACACACAAGAGCAGACCTAGGTAATGCCCTTTGGGGACAGGGGTTACTTTGCCTTGACCGGTTCTCGCTCTAACCAGCGAACCCTAACTTTCTGTTTATAGTGATATTCTTTTAAAAAGTCCTGTAACACTGACGGCAGAGGGAGCCCACCAATCCCATCATACGTGGTGCACCTGCAGATCACCGCACGGCAGATATACTGCAGGCTGAAAGGAAAAGTCCTGTTCAGTGATATCGTAAGCAAGGGTTCAAAAAACATGCAAGAGCTAGGGTCTTTATAATGTTCCAGGAGCCCAGTGACAGTGGAGGAGTGAAACACGCAAGGGTCGTGGGCATCAAAGCTGAAGTTGTGGTTCCACTGTTCGATTCTAGCGTGCAGGGATCTGTTATAGCGTCGGAAGCTCACGGAGAAGAGGTAGTCCTCCTGCGCAGAGTCCCTGAGCAAAAATGTGCCTTCAGGTTTCCCTTCCAGAAGGGCTTCTGCTTCATATCGGTCCATCACACCCCAGTAACAGGGATTCCCTGTGATCTGAAGCAAATCTGGCACAAGGCAGTGTATGTAATCGATCTGCGTATGAACTTTCCAAGCTCCCTGCCTGCTAACGTGAGAGTGGCTGTCCCCAGACACCTGGCGCTGCTTCTGCCTCCGTGACTGCAGACACAGGGTGGTTGAGTCTTCTTCTGAGTCACAATTTGTTTGTGGAACTGCAGAACTGTCTCCACTTATTTCTGTCATCCCAGGGGCTAACTTTGGTCCCAGTTTGTACAATGGATTGACCTGTGCAGTCGCTTCAAATGTGTGTATTTGTGCATTGGGAGGGGGGTCCACCCCTTCCTCGATACTAAGCCGCCTTCTCTCTCGGAGCCTATCTTCTTCATCTTCTGTAGACACCAGCGAGGGATCAAATGTATCGAAAAAGGTTGAATGTGGGCTCACAGGAGCTGTATGCTGTTTAATCAAATGCCACTTTTGTGCTAAATCTGAGCCAGCAGGAAAAGGGCATTTCTCCAGCATTAATTCAGAAAGATGGATTTTTCTTTTATTGGAAAAGAGAGGCTTTGACTGCTTGCTGTAAGTTCTCATGGGGAAACACAACCCCACAGTGTCCTGGAGCCTCTGCCTCAGAGAGCGGCTCCCCACAGCCCTGCCCGATACGCTGTCCATGTCGTGTACTGAGCTGACTCCATAGCGCCGCTCTCGCCTCTCAAGGCCACTTCGAGTTCTACCAAACTTTTTCTCAGTATCCAACGAACTCTGGGTCTTCGTGGAACAGGAATGTTTCTTCTTTCCTCCCCATGGGGCATGTCGAGAGTAGGAGTCCCTTCGTGCAAGCCTTGTTCCTGGGGTGGTACACGAGTCACTGTCTTTCTCGATGCTGATTTCAACAACCTGAGGGATCTCCGCAGCACAGTTTTGGTTTCGTCTTGAAAACGTTTTTGAAGGGCTGAGTCCCAGCTGTAAGGCCACGTTTTCTCTTAAGGGACTGCTCTGCTGCTGGGGGGCGGACTCTCCCAGACCAGTGCTTTTCTCTCTGACAGACAGACACCTGCTGGAGCTCATGTCCACACTCTCACTTCGGCTTCCTCCTTCATGGTTGAACAGAGCCTGGCACCTGTGTTTCAAGTTGTTCCACATCTTCCCCACTTTCTCCATTGATTAGAAGAGCTAGAGAAACCAACAGAAAAACAAGTTAATCCGAGAGGCCCATGCAGCTGGAAAATGCAGCACACTGGGGAGTCAAGAACAGGCCTTCCACAGCGCCTGCAGTGGCTCCTGGACATCGCTCTGGGCACAGCAGCGCTCTCGAGCAC